AATTGTTGATGAGATAATGTTATTGAGAGTCTATTTTGATGAATTATGATGTATAAATGATGTTTGATGATTTATAATGATAAATGATGTCGATGAATGATGTTGATGAAGAGATGTTAAGATGCTTTTAAGATGTAGGCCTTTGGCCAATGATGGTGTTGTATTGAGATGTTGTCAATTATGGTGTTGTTATTACATTCATGATTGTGTCGCATACATTGCATTTTGAGATGGAGCTTATGCTCGTTGAGATGGTCTGTATTGGCAAATATTGAGATGAAGGCTTATGCCTTGTTGATGCCTCTATTAATTGGAAAGTTTTGAGATGGGAGTTCTTCTCCAATGGTACCACATGCATTTGCATAGTATTGAGTCGCATTATATGATTGCATAAAGAAGTGTGTATTGATATTGTGAATGTGTATTATTATTGTGATTATTATTTATTATGAGATGAAAAGTGGTGATGTTATGTGATCTAATTTAATATATTAATTATCATACGCTTCATTATATTGTTAGATATCTCACCTTTCTGTTTGAATGTTGCCCTTATGTTGGTAACGTGCAGTTAATCGAGAGTGAAGGTTGTATACCTTCAATAGTTCGAGTCAGTGTCATTGCTCTGATATGTAACACTCGAGGGGATGAACACTTGTTACTTTTGATGTTGATTATTTGGTTGTTGAACTTTAAGTTGATTATTATTAAATTATGTTGTTTTTAAGTTGTTGTAACAATGCTAAAGATGTTATTAAGAATTCCGCTGCGTAGATATTAAATTGTTGAATTATTTAATTAAAGTATTTATGTTGATGGTTCATCCTAAGTTTTAAAGTGTTATGTATCCACGATGAATGCAATGAGTTTCTTATGATGAATTTGTGACATCCATATTCGTTTGCATGAATGATTTTATAACTCTGATTTATTTATATAGTTTCTGATTTGAAATGGGGTGTTACAGTATATTGCATGCTCTTTTCGACCAGACTCGTCATGCTGCCCCAGCACACACCCCATTGTATTGTCTAACACTGTTAAGTACATTATCAAAGGTCTTCCTTCAATCGGAGGCATCAGAATTGGTGGTTCTTGAAGGTATTCCTTGATTCTTTCGAAAGCATTTTGGCATTCATCGTTCCATTTTAACACTTGATCTTTCTTCAAGAGTTTGAAGATTGGCTCACAAGTAGCAGTTAAATGGGAAATGAACATGGCAATGTAATTTAGGCGTCCCAAAAATCCTCTGACCTCCTTCTCAGTGCGAGGAGCCGGCATCTCTTGTATAGCCTTTACTTTTGTAGGGTCTACATGAATGCCCTTGTCACTGACAATGAAACCCATTAGTTTTCCAAACCTTACCCCGAAGGTGCACTTGTTCGAGTTCAACCTCAACTTGTACATCTTCAACCTATCAAACAGCTTTTGTAGATGATCAAGGTGCTCTTCCTCAGTTTGAGACCTGATTATTATGTCATCCACATATACCTCTATCTCATGGTGAATCATGTCATGAAATAAGGCGACCATGGCTCGCTGATAGGTTGTCCTAGCATTCTTTAATCCAAACGGAATTACTTTGTAGCAGAAAGTGCCCCATTGGGTGACGAAGGTTGTCTTCTCCATATCTCCGGGTGCCATCTTGATCTGATTGTAACCAGAGAAACCATCCATGAAGGAAAAGATCTTGTGTTACGCGGTGTTATCAACCAGAACATTGATGTGGGGAAGCGGAAAGTCATCTTTGGGGCTTGCCCTGTTCAGATCTCTATAGTCCACACACATCCGTATCTTACCATCTTTTTTAGGCACCTGAACCACGTTGGCCACCCACTGGGGATAAGAGGTGACGGCTATTAAACTAACATTGAACTGCTTCATAACCTCTGCTTTGATCTTCTTTGACATTTTAGGGCGCATGCGACAGACCTTCTGCTTTACCGGAGGGCAATCTTCTTTAGTTGGCAGTCGATGAACCACAATATCCATGTCCAGTCCTGGCATGTCTTCATATGACCAGGAAAAGATCTCGACATAGTCATGCAACATTTATATCAACCGTTGTTTGACATTAAACTCCAGATTTGCGCCGATCTTGACTTCTTTTATGTCTACTTCTGTGCCCAAGTTTATTGTCTCAACTGGCTCTTCATGAGGTTGTATAGCCTTCTATTCCTGCTGTAACAGTCTAGCAAGTTATCCAGGTACCTCACAATCTTCCTCACCTTCGTCCTTGACTTGGTTGATTGGATTTTCGAAGTTATAACTGGAAATAGCAGAACTGTTATCAATGGGATCCATAGTGGATATAGATCTGCAGTTTGATATGTGAGTGTGTGTAAGAGAATATTTGTATAGACAAAGTAAAAAAGCAAAAAAGAAAGACAGAGAGCATAAAATTTGTATGCAAAATGTCCAATGCTTTATTAATGTCATATGAAAGTGAAACATGATAACCCTCAGAAATAAACCGATGTGCCCCGGGTAAGACACATGGCCATAAAGTTATATTGTTTATTACATATCCAAAAAACAAGAAAGACAATTACTTCTGAACAAAAGTAATTGGTACAAAATCCTTTTCCGTCCAATTACTAGGTCCACCGTTGGTAGTAGGGAAGATCTAGCTATCCATGTCATTGTCACCATCTCCGTCTTCTACAGTGTTTACCCTGTGATTACTGATGCGTAGGGGAGGTTTTCTAGCACGAGCACGTCGAACAGCCCTTTGAGCCCCTGAAGAGAAACCCAAACCAAATTTACCAGACTTGTACGGAATATCAGTGAGTTGACCCCAGATGGTAGACCCATCTTCTTCAACAATAGCTTTTGCATCCTTGAGAGAGGCCATCTTCAAGGGAGGTCTAGTGATCTTCGACACGTTGGTAACAGTTTCAGTTGCATCCAGATCCTGAGGTACCTCTTCGAAATTCTAGAACGGAGTCTCGATGAACTCACCCTCCATTTCCACACATTTGAAGGAATTCAGGTGACTGGCCATGTATTCTTCTTCGCCGCGTACAGTGACAATTCTCCCTTTGACCGGGTATTTCATCATATGATCCAGATTGGACGTAACAGCTTCAGCCCCATGTATCCAAGGGCGGCCCAAGAAACAAGAATAAGATGTCTTGATGTCCATTACGTAGAAGGTAGAGCCGAAATTCTGAGAACCAACCTTGATGGGGATGTCCACCTCCCCATGCACCATTCTCTTTGATCCGTCAAAAGCCATCACTACAATATTGATGGGTTTCAAAGTCAAGCCTTCACAGTCCAGTCTATCTAGAGAATTCTTTGGCAGCACATTTAACAACGAACCAGTATCTACAAGGACGTGGGCCAAAGTGGTGCCCTTGCATTCGACAGAGACATGCAACGCATCATTATGCTTCCTCCCTCTAGGGGTCAAATCGGCATCAGAAAAGCCCAAACGTTATCGACCGTCAAACTAGCCACACAATCTTGAAATTAGTCAACAGAAGTTTCCTGGGGAACATGGGCAGTTTTTAGAAACTTCACCAGAGCCTTCGCATGAGCTTTGGAGCACAACAACAAGGCTAGCATAGAGATCTTTGAAGGGGTCTGCCCCAACTGTTCGACCTCGTTGTAGTCGCTTTTCTTGATAATTTTCATAATTTCTTCCATCTCCTTCTCGGAAGCCTCTGGAATAGATACTAATTATGCCTTCATCTAGACTAGCTCAACCAATATGTCTTTGCCCCAAGTCTCGGTCGACTCGGTGATAGGGATGTCAGCAGGAGTAATCAAAGGAATTACAGTAGTAGTAGGAGCAGGAACAAAAGTAGGAATAATCACAGGACCGATAACAACTTTCGGAGGAGAAATCTCAGGGGAGAACACTCTTCCACTTCTTGTTATTTTGCTGGTTCCAACAATGTTGACAATGTCGGGATCAGCATTCTCAGAGACCTGGTCTTCATCAGCTAGCCAATCTTGCTTGACACCGTGGTAGTAGACGTCACCTCCATAGTTCCAAGGAACAGTTTTGTCTGATGAGTATGGGATTGGCCCTGGTAATGTAATTCTTAACACAGTAACCTTCGGAGTAGATGTAATCCTAATGAGTCTTTTTGTGGAGACCCTGGGAGGATTGGCGGAAATGGTTATTATTGAAATATCCTTGCACATAATGGTTGGAACAGGAGTCTTCTCAAACAAAATCTCTCTAACATCCATCAGGCGCTGAATGTTTCACCCTAAAATTTTCCCTCCTAATTTCTTTTATCTGGCTTAGAATGTTGCATTCGCATCTTTTCATTAGGTCACTAATATAGCATACATTTTGCATTTCAAAAGAGAACCTGAGGTCCAAAATATTAGTAGTTATGAAGCTAGGGTTTATGACTGATTTGAGGTGTATATGATTAAATAAGATTTATTATTCTGTTTCTTCTTGGTGTACAAGACTGTGGCATTAGGGTTTTGGTTCATGTTCACTTTTAAACTTCTTCTCCACCAAGTTACAAGGCTATTATCTTCTGCTGAACAACAGGTGGCAGGGCATTCTTATCAATAACTTGAGGTTGTGGTTTCGCGTGTATGGCTTGTGAATCAAAATACCCCATTCTATTTTTGTGCTTATCATTTGGCCAAGGTTTGTCAATACTAAGGATGTACTAAGATTTCTCTAAAGGATCAAATGTGTTATCAATCTAAGACGCGTGTGATGCATGGGCTACAGGTCGTTGACTATATCATTGTTGCATTGAGTTCATCTATTCATAGGTCAAATATGTCATGATTCAAGATATTTGTATGATAAGTCTGGTTGCTTGACAGTTAAGGCATTACGAATAATTGGCATAAACTATCATTTGGGTATTTGTTCAAGAACTTTGGTTTCAAACATGGATTAAAGTTCAGCTTGATTCAAAAAAGCATGCCCGAAGGTTTAGTTCATAAGTTCTTGCAGAAGAAGATGGCATATGAACGTAAGTTGAGATTAAAGTACATGGTGTCAAGTAAAATTCTTCATGATTCAAATTTTTATTTTCAAGATTATTCCGCATCATTATTCATCCCAAGGTAAAAATACAAAAGATGCGTTCAATAACATTCAAGTGGTTATCATGGTCTCCTCAAGTTCATTCAAGTACTCATTTAAGCTCAAATTGAATGAGGGAAATGTTTTTGAATTATTGGGAATTTGTCATGCAAGAATTTACAAGGTTTTGTTCATTACAAATTCAAGTCATTACACCAAAGCTACACAATGCATCTCATTCAATAAAAAACAGAGCATACTGCAAGACTTATTCAAAGGGGAAATTAAAAGGATTCCATATGCTACAAAACCGGTTCAGCCTTGCACCTATGCACAAAACCAAGCTAGCTTCATTACAAAGTAGGAAGACACTTCAGAGCAATTCATGCTCGTGATACGACACTTGTTGTCTTGTCTCAAAGCAAGGTTACTCTGCACATATGAGAAAAATAGAATAAAAACAGTCACATAAGAATCTCATAACAGATCAAGGCTAAATAAAAGCTTAGGCTTCCTGCTGTTTGTTGGTGAAGACCGGAAATCGAACCTCGGTATTGAGTAAAAAAACCGGTCCTGAAAAAACTTGGAAGTTCCTCATACCAAACTCAGCTCTTGCACCAATTATCCAAAATCTAGTCATGCAAGGGGAAACACCAGAAGAAAGTGAAATCAGATCCAGAATCAACTCATGATTGTTTGCAGCCCTGCATATATTCAGACAGAATAATAAGGTTAAAAAAATTCAAATGAACCACCCTGCACTTAGCTAACATATTTTCATTTTTCTTTCTCTAACTAGCTTTGTCAGTTAAGTTTCCACAAATAATTTTCCAATTTACTAATAGGTTTTCTAGTGGATTCAATTAACCCTCTTTAGCTAACTGTGTATAATCCATTTGCTAACGGTGAGCAAAACTAACTTCTCAAGCGAAATCATTTAATCAAACAGCTACCTATACCATTCCTGTTTATCAAGCACCAATCAAGACAGTATAATTCTCTAGTTCATAAGCATATCATTAGGCCATTCCAAGTATAATTATCTTGTTTGGTATTCGCACTTACCCGTATGCTTTAAGCTTCAACCGTACGCAACCATATACTGCGAGCAGTTCACCAAATGATGCCTACAGCAACTAGCGTGATGTCATATTAGGGAAATGACTGCAAGAGAAACTTTGGTCTTCTCAGCATGGTGTTAGAAAGTAGGATCAGGATATACCATGCTTCTTGAGCTGTATAAAAGAAAATCATCACATAATACAAGTATTAAAGCTGCTTCAGCTTACATGTTCATGATAAGAAATTCAGTCAGAAATTGTGCATAACAGAAATACTGGTTTTTTGAGTTCTTAACAAGTTTGTTAACTGAATTCGCCAGATTCATCGCTCTTTAGGACATTATCATCGTTTCTCCTTGACTTAATCGATGGCTTTCCATTAACATGTTACAAAAGCAATTTCCCAGCATGTGTTCATAGCAAAGTAATGGCACTGTTACATCTACAACATACGTGTATCAAGAATTCAATAATTTAGAAAATATTAGAAATTTCAGTCCAGTATAGTAAAGCCTTAAAAAAAATAAAATAAATGAGTTTCATTTGGAAGATTCAGTTAAATCTTAATACATTCAGATCAGGGCGAGTGAATGAAAACAGGAAAAGATTGGATCATTTGAAAAGACACAAAAATAAACTTATAACAATTTATAATAGAATCCAAACTAACTGAAACCAAAACAATTTTTCAGTCCATAAGTAACTACTAATAGCTCAACAGAATCTCTACCCGATTTTCGAGCCCCTAACAAATTCCTTCTCCCTATTCAAAACTAATAAACAGTCTAAACAGCTCTCTAACAAACCACTAACTTCCTCATTCCTAACAGTCTAACAAAAACCTCAACAGAAAACAGAACTCAATTCCCTAACCTTTTTTCTAACTCATTCAACTAACTTCTTAACCTCTCTTAACCAAAAATAATAGAAAATGGAACTAACAGTAACTAAATTCAATTAACTAACTAACTGTCACCCCTAACTAACTCTAACGAATTCCTAACAAACTTCGTAACAAACTTCTAACAGATTTGGCAATAGAAGAGAAGAGAAGGATGCAGGAGGGAGGATTCATTGATACAAAGTAAAAAAAAATAGAAAAATTGACCATTCTTCTCTCCCTCAGGAAATCCGCAGAAAAACCATCGCCTTTCCTAGCTCCATTCTTCTATCATCTTCATCTTCACCATTTTTTCTTCATCAAGATGGATCATCAGAACCTGTGAGAAGGTTTCATTGCACTTCTCTGAGAGCTTCAAGGTCAGTTCTCCACTTCTCGTTATTAATATCTCTATCATCTTCTGTAAATCCGCAAACCTCAATCTTCAATTGTAACGGCACCTTCAATCTTCGATCTCTCAAGAATGCGTCAATCTTCAACGTTATGTTCATCATTCTCATCATCACCAACGCTGCATCAACAACATCATCACGATTCAATCGTAGATCATCATCAAACCCCACAACAGATTTCAGATCGCACAAAATTGCAACGATACAGAAACGAAAAAGAAGATTCGTGAACAAAGTTGTACCTAAATCAAAGATGCGCCGGTCTTTCTCCGGTAAGTAAGCCCTAACCTCCACCGTTGTTTTCTATATTCTATGTGCAATTTGAAGCACGAAATCACGATGGCTTTGAAGCAAGTGGATGCCATCAGAAGGGAAGACGATGTGAAGAACATGAACTGGGATGATCAGAGGTCGCGTTTGCGGCTGAAAATGTGAGGAGTTAAGGACGGTGGTAGAGTTGTTGATCGCGCCGCTGCATTTTGGAAGAAGAAGAGAGAAAGCCTATGAGCATGAAATCTGAGGGTCCTGTAACATTGAAACCTAAAGCTGCTTTCAGGCCAGTGGATTTGGGTTGATTAATGCTTGGGACGAACCGGGTTATCCTTAGGCCTATGGATATCTTCTCTTTGGTAGAAGTGGGTTGCTAAAGATGGTTTATTTTGGAATCCAATTTGCAAATAAAAAAGGCTGGTTTGTTGTATGATTATTGGACCGGACTATACCTCTCTGAAGTTCACAACCACTATTTTTTTGGTATTCTGATGGCTTGTAGCAAAAATCTTCATGGACTGGGCTTAGCACCAGAATTTGCAGCATTGTATACATATTGCACCTCTTTTTTCTTAATTTTTGTTTAGATATTTTGACAATTGTTCTATTTGAATTTCTTTACATGATAAAAAATGATAAAATCAAGTATTAAAATTTGTTAGACTTTACTTATTTTTTATTTTAGGAATTAATTCATGGTTATCCGATTATTCGAAATTCGTGATTCACCTCTGTTTGTTGAGATTTGAGTCTTATGCAGGTTTATTATGCGGATGCTCTTGAGATTTCGATTGTGATTTATTTTCACATCGATGATGCTTCGATACTTATTCCGACCATTTGATTTTTTTACTCTTTTCTTTGATTGGTGAAGTTGTTCGCGAAGATCGTCGGGTTTCTTTATTTTGATAGGCTTTGCTACGGATTAATATCTGTTTGGTATTTTCCCTTGTTTATCTCATTTCAGTACTTTACTGTTTTTTAGATATCATGAGAAGTAGGAAATAAAGAGTGTGCGCTCGAAGTCGCTGTTTAAAGACCTGTAGTAGGCATTCTGCACTTCATTTGCTATATGTGTTGTGCTTGTGTTTGTTTACTTTCTTGTTGATCGATGAGTCACTCAATTTAGAGATTGAGATCACGACTTCGCTCTCATTGCATGTTCCCTATAGGATTTCATCGCTTTCCTTTATTTCTTGTTGATCGATGAGTCACTCAATTTAGAGATTGAGATCACGACTTCGCTCTCATTGCATGTTCCCTATAGGATAGTTTTGTTAGACTTTCTTTTGTATGCTAGCCTAGATAGGATCTCTCTAGTTGTGCTCTCTTGAGCTTATTGTCTTGTTTGTTTGATTTCATCTTTGTGTGCATGTTTTGATATGACATACCCTCGGCATGTTCCCTTAGGAGCTCTCGATTCAACTGTAGACGATGATTCGAGATAGACATAGTTTTAGGTGATAGACCCTTGCTATACTCCTTTAGGACTTCTTGATTCATCTATAGATGATGATTTTAGATAGACATTAGGATTGTATCCAAGCATGTCAACATGGGGTAAAGATTTCCCTTCAAAACTCAACCATAGGACTATCATTGTATTATAACATTAGGGATAGATTTAGGTTAGTCTCCCTTTAGACTTTTCTTTCCCCTTTTGCATTTGCATTAAGACTAAAACTTCCTTTTTCTTGAAAAAAGCATAAAACATCTAACAACTTCTAAATCCTTCTTTAAGGTAAAAGCTATCAACCAATGCAAACTCTTTTGTGCCTCCGGGCTTTTCTTTAAAACTTTTCAGAAAGAACATGTTAATTCACTTTTGTGCTGACGCGTGAGTCTCCAAAGGTCGAGCTGCGGCAGAAGGCGAAATTAATATTTGTTCATTAAAAAATACCAACCAACCAAAACATTTTAAGTCGAACTACGATAGCTCTGATTCCTCAAAAAAGGATACGTAGGCATTGGGGTAGGGCCCATGCGAGTACAATTTTATTTTCCCTACATTCTTTTCTCATTTATTTTGCATGCATTCTCCCCTCAGTAGTATAGTAAACAATAAGCATAGATTAGACACACCCATAAGATAGACAACAAGAGTGGATACCGTAGAGTACTACGGGCGTAAATCTTGACTTCACACCGCTCTGTGATCATATTCAAGATATGGAACAACTTCGTGGGGAATTGGACAAGATGCAAGAACATATGGGATTCTAGATGCTAGACATACAGGATTTGGTCCGTGGACAAGAACTCTTGAAAGAAGAAAATAGTCAGTTGAAGACTCAATTGAATTTGGTTATGGAAATTTTGGGGACGATGTTGAAGAAAGAAGATGTTTCCATGCCTGCTACAATAGGAGCTACCATTCCTCCCCATAATCCAAGGACTCTTTTAAGTCAGGGAGTATCTCCTCCACCGCCTTGTGTTCCAGGATCTTTCCATCCATAACCAGTTGTCATTTCTCAAGAGGACCCAAAGGGAAAAGCCCGTCAGTAGAGGCCAAAACAACCCGAACGACAATTTGATCCTATTCCAATGTTGTATGCACAATTGCTTCCTCCCCTGCTAGAATTTCATTTGGTCAAACTCTGAATCTTCACCACACATGAAAGGCTCCCTCGTGGCTTTGACGACAATGCTAGATGTGAATTCCACTCTGGGGAACCTGTTCATGATACTGAAGATTGCATAGCTATTAAGAACCAAGTCCAAGATTTGCCTGATGCAGGGACAATTCTCTTCACTCCCGAAGGTCTAAGCATGAAAGTCAATCTTACGCCTTCTCCTCTTCAAGGTTCTATCTCATGATCGGAATCACGTCTTCCACAACCTATACTCTCAGATAGTTCTCACCAGCAGCCGTTTACAAATTATGGAAATTAGTTGGTTAATCAAAAACAGAATGTTCATCATGTTCATCCAGTTCGGTGTGCTTCTCAGCAACAAAGCTTTCAACAAAGACATATGCAATAAGGTAAACAAAGGGATAGGAAGCCAAAGAGGGTGTTCGACATTGTTCCCATGACTTATGACCAGTTGTTCTCTCAGTTGCTCAAGCTTTCTTTGGTGGAACCAACGCCATTAAAGACTGTCATTCCTCCTTATCCTATGGATTTAAATCCTAATGCGCAATGTGATTACCATGCTGGGGAGCTGGGCCATTCCATTGAAGACTACATGGCCTTTCAAAGAAAATGTGCAAGACCTGCTTGATGCAAAGGCTATCAATTTCGGGCCAGCCAGTTAAATTTGAAGTCTCCTTTGACTCAGTAAATGTCAAGATGGCCAGATCATCATCTGAAGCAACAAGTCCATACGGAGACTAGTCTCCTCAACATAGCAACTTCTAGTTTCATTTGCAATTCTCATTTGTAATATTTCTTGCTTTGGTTCAGTACTTTCTTGTATGCAAAACTTGATTATCGTTGAATGTTAATCACAATGCATTAAATTTGTTTGTCTTGAATTAATCCATTCGTATTCACCCATTAATGTTTTTCTTTGAATTTTTTATACTTAACTCTTGTAAATAAAGTTTTAAAATAAAACCTCGGGAGGGAGGATGATGAGTAATATGCCAATAATTTCAAATGGTGTGCTTTTGAATAAAAACCTTGCTGACGATGTACATGCCTTGTTTCAATTCCTAAACACCAGAGATATAAGGGAGATAGACCCTCGTTAACCCCTTTGATCCTTGAAGTAGGAGTTTATTTTCTTTTCAAAAAAACCCTCACATTTAACCCGGGGCAGGGTAGACTTCAGTTGATCTGATCGAGCTTTCAGAACTCATTAGGAGTGCGCACCTAAGGATACAATAATGGTTATCCATCAAAAGGATAAGGAAAGTCAAAACCGCAATGGTTAACTCTCCTCTATTAGCAGCATGCATCAAGGAGATGATATCCCAATGGAAATCTCTCGCACGTCAAGAGGTCAAAAGACGACGATACCATAACGGTTATTCCTCGTCAACCAAACAGCAAGGCAGTTACACCTTTTCAGCAAGTCAAAGAACGACTCGAAGTCACATGACTGGTTCAAACAAAATGAAATGATGAAAGAAAGAGACAAAAATCCTCGCTAAGTTGAAACTTGGGAAAAAAAAGTCGCTTAGGCAAAAGTCAGGGCATCCCGCTAGACTTCAAAGTCAAATTCAAAAAATAATTTATCCAAGCCAAATTTAGGGAAAGTGAAAAAACGCGAAAAGCGAGAAGGGATTAAAAAAATTCTCAACAAAGAACAAAGTCGTGTGGCCAAAAGCACTAAGGAGTGAAAGAGGTGAGTGACCTCCATGTCCAAAAAAAAACCTCGTTGGATTCCTCAACCATCGTAAACTCTTCTTGAGAGATGAGTGCTCGCATCGAGTTAACTGAATTTAGTACTGGAGAACATCATGAAAGTGGTGGGCACCAAATAATTTTGAGCCTTAAATCCTTTTTTCTAAATTCGTGAACTAGGCCATGTTACAACCCTTAAAATTCCTAACTGAAGCATGGGTTAATTTGAAAGCACACTGTAACGAGAATACGGTAATCTGACTCCTAGCAGACTTGTTAAAACTTTTGAGTTGGTATCTCCATCTTTTTACTTTCTTTTGTACAATTTTTTTTAATGTTAAATCTTTTCAATATGAGTTTTTAAACTTCAAGAAAAACATGATCTTTGCATTAGAATTATCATTCTTAGAATAAACATTTTTTGCATATGAACAAGTGCTTAAACATCAAGTAAGTTCGCATAATGAGCATCAGATGAAAATTTGATTACCTCAAGGGACTAATTGCTTCAGGATACAGTTGAAAGGTAAATCATTTTTGAAAAATGATCTTAATCTGGGGAAAACCTTCTATTGACTCCGCTGAGTGAAAGAATACTAGCTTGAGAAATGATCTGAAGTAGATTGCAAAACTTGATTGCCTAGAGTCTCTATAGAGCAATGGCATGCTATTTTTAGTTGGTCTTGAGGGGTCAATTTCTTCAAGTATATGATTAGAGAACGAAGCAGTTCAAGTCGAGAAGTGTGGTTGTAGCATTATTTTAAGACGTAAGTTGGCCACCCTAAGGTTGTGTCGTCTTTAAAACTTTTTGAACTTCCCATTTCTTCCCAAGCATGAGACGAAGAAAAGGTTTGTCGAGACTCGGCTAAACTAGGGGCAAGCATCTTAAATACTCCTTCGAATGAGTGATCAGCCAATCTGAGGCATTCAAGTCAGGATTTTATCCCTCAAAAGAACAGTTAAACTGGGGTAATTACGTCAAGATTCGAAGAGTCTCTCAAAGTGTTGAGTAATCATGGGCACTCACTCAAGCATGGTTGAAATTGTTTCTAACTTTGGTAAGCTAGTAGTCGTATGCTCCAAAGTTCATAACACTGGGCTGTTTATCTTAATGGTACAAATCTCAAAAAGTCATTTCGGGGAACTTTTCTTCTAAAGCCTTACAGACTGGGGCAGAGCATTATGCAGGGTCATTGTCTCCTTTTCAAGGGTTGATCAGATCAAGTCCATACGCAGGCTAAATGACCCGTGAGTTTGAAAATCATG